ATATATTATTTCTTGGAAGAGGGTCCACATTATTATTATGGAAGACTTCTGTCTACTTAATTAACTCAAAATATTTGCTCTTTATTACATACTAGAGAAGATTTAATTTTTTGTATTCGAAAACGTTCTATATTCTCAATATTCCATTTTTAGAATGACAACGAACCTGATGAAGATCTTGGTTAGAGATCGAAAATGTTAGTTCAGTGACTTTATTCATTTCGTACTGGAAATTTAAAGGTTTTGGATGTATTATTGTTATATGTACTGGTATTTATTAGTATGTTCCATTATTTTAAATTGATTTTAATGTATTCTTTTATATATTTTATTATTAATTGCTTTTTCTAACTAAATTCTAAGAAATATAAGTTTTTGCTACAACTGAATTTTTGCTATTACTATATACTTACATTGTTTTAAAGTATGCTTTTATCCTGAGAAAATTTTTTCTTTGTTTCTCATATGTAATATAATAGATATTTTCAAAAAAATAAAATTCACACCTTAAGTAAACTCCATCAACAAATTTTAATAAACAAAAACATTACTGACCTAATTTGATAAGTTGTTGAGTTATCAAACTTACAAAACTTTGAATGAAAAAGAACATAAAAGAAATTTAAAGTACAAATTAGAACACACAAAATTTAAATTCAAAGGATAAAAAATTAAAAATAAAACTAATAATGAATATTAAATTGTAGTAATAATACATTAAAAGCTTGAACAAGTCAGACTTCATAAAAAGCCCTTTATATGGCTGATAATGTCTGCATCATGGTAGTTTAAGTTGTGAATTTTAGTTTTTGACACTTCCTCCAGTTCTGCAATAGTTTTTTTTATGAACTTTTTTCAGTTTTCTTTTGTATGCTATAATTACTTTTTTCAAAATATAAAATTTAACAATTAAAGTTAATCCATAATATATATTAATGTAATTTTAGAAAATTATAAATTATTATTTAATAAATGCTATGTTAAAAGTAGAATGAAGAAATTACTAAAAACATAATTAATGTTTTAATAATTTGATGTAATATTTGAAACTAGGGATATCATTTGTAGGGAACTGTGTCTGGAAGCAAAGACGTGCTTAGAGATCCGGGTGGCATAACTGAACAACACACCACATGATAAGTGGAGGTTCTAGGTTTTGACTTCCATCTTGGGCTGATTCTTTTCTTCCAGATTGTTCTAAATTATTATAATTATTAATTTTGATAAGAGATGGCACCTGACATCTACTACCTCTAATACCAAATTACTTTATTTCTAATTTTTAATTGTAGCATAAAATAGCTTGTTTAATTAAGGCTGTCATTTGGTTTACTAGGGATATCAATCAAAACTTCACACCTTAAAAAATTTTTTGCATTTTTAGGTTTCAAACTTTTAGGAAAAAGTGAGCTGAAGTTACAAAATTTTTAATTAATATTTAAACAATATTAAAAATAAATTTCAAAGGAGAAGAAATTAATATGTCAGTGTTGGTACAAAAACATAGTGAAAATATAGAGAAACTTTACTTAGCACACAAAATCATCAAACCTATATTGACCAACAGTGAAAGGGTTTTCTGAATTTGTTGTAACATTTCAACAAAACTAAAAAATTTATTGTCTCCTCATCATTTTAATACTTTGTATACTTAACTTTTTATTTTAAAGAGAATCCAAAATGTTTAATAATCAAACATATTTGAAATTCTAAACTGAATTTCAATAAAAGCTTGTTTCTAAAATTTCTGGCCTATATTTATGAGTTTAATTTTAAGAATTCTCAATATAATCATCAATTCATAATAAATTGAATTCATTCATTTCTAGTAACGATAAATTATTATGACAAAAATGTTGGCATTAAAACTTTTAAAACTTCAAAGTTTCAAAAATCATATTTTAAAACTGAAGATTTAAAAAGCCAAAGATTTGATATCCCTACTTGAAACTGCCTTCAATGTAATAGATATTGAAGAGTTTCAAATATTAAGTCAAAAATAAATCTAGCTCTCTACTTTTTTAATATAAACTTTCTATTAACAAACAGTACATTCTTAAAATGATGAACGATATTTCATTGATTTATTTTTTATTAAAAATATATAAAAATTTATAATATAAAACATATTTTCTAATTATGAAAGAAAATTTTATTTTCTAGGTTTTATCAAAACTTCCAACTTACTTGAAAATGCCAAATTTAACTATTACATCAGAATACAAAGAATTATTTATAAAAGCAAATAATACATTTTTATATCAATTAATATTTTGTCCACTGGAAAGAAAATTAAAACCATTAAATCCTTATCCTAGTGATGTTAATTTCAAAGATTTACATTATGCTGGAGAGTATCCTTTATAGTTATATATTGTTTCAGTAAGATAAAAGTTTAATCTTTAGTGTGAGAATTGAACAAGAAAAAGGAAAACAACCCTAGGATGACCTCATCAGAAACCTAATCTATGTCAACTTTCTGACCTGAGAAAGTTTCAACTTATGCTTTCTCAGTGTTGGAAGTAACACCTTTCCTTTGATTTCTAGACACCTTTAAGATATTTGCTGCTTTTAATATAATGAGCAATTGCTGATTCTATTCAGTCACCATCCATTCTTCATTTCTTTACGACTTATGTGCTATTACCATCTGCAGTTTCATTCGTGCCTTTGGATTTCTCGTTGTCCTTCAGCTTGTGTGCTGCTACTTTGCAGAACTGTTAATCAACATCAAGAACTTATCTCCTGTCTCCCCAACATGGAATTTCTAGTTTCTAGTTCAAACTCATAAGGTACCAATATTTGTGAACTCTCTCTCTCTTCTCTGTCTCACTCTCTTTGCTATGAATGCGAACAATCTATCTTCTTTAGTTGTGTAACATATTGTACAAACTTTTGTGCTGCCTAATAAGTGTAGTAAATTGTGTCAAGTGATTCCTTTCCAACTGAATCTTGTCATTTCCTATTCCATCCTCTTACCCCTAGTCTCACATATGAGACCACTTATTGCCATCCATAAAAATGCTCAAAACTCTTGTAGTAGGTGTAACCTTCTTGGTGTCAGAAATTTCTGAGTGTAATCACTTATATTCAGCAATAGGAAGGCTCAAAAACCATATAAAACTCCACTGGGATACTTGGGCTTCACACAGGTCTCGGAGAAAAACGCCAACGGAAACATTACACTGGTATCAGAGTAAAACACCTAAATACAATCTCACAGTGGGGCCTGGACATCACCCGTCAATCCTCACATTAGACTTTATAAAATATAAAAATATTGAAAAATTAGAAAGCCAATTATTTTAATTAATAAACTAATTTAACTTCTTATTAGGTTTTATGTACGAATGTATATAAGAACTATTTTTGTTATAATTATTGAAACTCTTTCCATAATTATTTTATCAAAAATCTAAAGTAAATAAATACACTTATATAAAAATTCAGCAACAAGTTGCATAACTTTCCTGGCTGTTATGAGATTTGTTAAAAAAATGTTTATATCATTAAGCAATAAGACTACATTACAGAATTTCTTGTAATGTAGCTTTATTTATTTATTCTACATAATAAACACAACTATATACCAATAATCAGCAAAAAACAGATATATTTTAATGAAAACAAATGTTTTCTTCCTGATGATATCTGATTAAAACAAAAGAAAACATTTGCTTTTGTTAAAATATATCTGTTCTTTGCTGGTTATTGGCATGTAGTTATGTTTGTTAAAACATCTTACTAGTATTGTATTAATGATTGAGTGTACAGTACATAATGTTATCAGCACATTTTGTTTTAGTTTAAAGTTTACTCAAAATGATTGTAATAAACATAGTTTGCTATATAAGATAAAAAATTGGATTTTTTTTAATTAAAATTCTTGTATAATTGTGTTTAATCAAATATATTTAATTTTCTTGAAGTTTTAAAGAATATAATTGCAACAGATGACAGAGAAATTATTTATGCTATGTGTGTGATCTTTAAATAATTAGTTTTAATACAATTTAGTTTTGCTTGACTGTAATATAAGTTTGAAACTTATTATAGAAAAGCTCTAGTTTACTGCACATAGAATTTACTTGACTATTTTTATTGTGTGGCTGATTCAATAAACAAGATTAGTAGTACTGCTAAAGAAAAATAACTCAGCATAGATGGTTGAGACTAAAAATACTGGAACAGTTTAAAGTAATGGCAGTCCTGTATCACTATCTGACTCTTCCAGGTGGCATTTGCATTTACTATGCAGTTCACAAAATGGTGTCACCACATCAAACTGCACCAGAACTAATCAGAAGGCTGTTATTCAGTTTTGACAGCTGAAGGCATTACACTTACAAGTTAGTGGGATTCATTGCAGGATGTATGCACAATATAGAGAGTCATGCATGTCTCTGCAAAAAGCTTGTATGCAGATTCAAAAGTTCAAGAAAGGTTGAATAAACATAGACAATAAACTGCATAGGATTTTTAATCCAAGCTTTTTGTAACTTGGATTAAAATGTATATTGACTTTTAAGTTTGTAACAACATGCATGACTCTCCTTATTTTACATACATCCTGCAATGGATCTCAGTAAGTAGGCTTTTGGCTTTCAAAAATCAATCAAATAAAAACTCACTGTTTGATTCTGATGCCTGTTGATATAGGCAATACCATTCTGTAAACTGTAATGGATGCAAATGCCACCTGGCAGGGACAGATATGTGGTGTTTTGTACGACCTTTAGAGCCTTCTTATTGCTAGATATATGTGATTACACACTGAAATTTCTGATACCAAGTAGGTTATGCCAACTACTCAAGTTTTTTGAGTGTTTTTCTGGATGGCAATAACACGATCTCATATGTGAGACTAGGGGTAAGAGGATGTAGTAGGAAATGATGAGATGCAGTTGGAAGAAGTCACTCAACACAATTTACTGCATTTAAACATTTATTGGATGGTTGAAAGTTTGTACAATACAATACAATTGGATGGATGAAAGTTTGTACAATACATTACACATGTAAATAAGACATAATATTTGTGGTTATGTATGCTATCATTGCAGAGAGAGAGAGAGAGAGAGTTTACAAATTTTGATACCTTAAGAATCCTGACAAATCTATCCTACGATGGAAGACACAGGAAAACAGTTCTTGATGTTTAGAGCTTCAAAATTGGATGATGTATATTGCATCAGATAGTACTCAAGTAGCAATGTAGATGAAGCACACAATTATAAATCCACACAAACACTTATCCAAACAGCTGGAAGGATGGGCAATGACTGACTAAAATCAGTCATACTTTGTCATATTCAAAGGTGCAAACTTCCTAGATGCGACTAAAAGTCAAGAGAAAGGTGTCATAAAGTGTCACTATCAACTCTAAGAAAGTGTAAGTTGACACACTCTCAGGTCAGAAAGTTGACATATACTGACTGACTGCTGATGAGCTCATCATCATTTTGTTTGCCTTTAACTTGTTTGATTCTCACAGATATTTATACAGGGCTGCATTACTATATACATTTTCAATATTATTAGTCTCAATCTTGTATTCTATGTTATTTTTCTTTAACAATGTTGCTAATATTATTTATTGAATCAGCCTCATAATAAAATTAGTCAAGTAAAACTAAGTTGTATTAAAACTAATTATTTAAAGATTACCTCCCTGTCTTGTTGCAGTTATATTCTTTAAAACTTCAAGAAAATTAAATATATTTGATTAGCAGCATTACTAGTTTTATTTATTAAATCTGCCTGATATATTTAAAAATAAAATTTTCTTGACTAACAACAGATATTTTCCAGATAATTTAGCATATCAATTAGCATTAGGTAATATTAATGTCAATACCATGAAAGTAATAGATGATTTTGATCCTCTCAAGCAGGTAAGTCTTTTTATAGATTTTACATAATTAGTAAATGTAAATAATTTACCAAAATTAATATTATTTTATTAGATAAAGTGATAAGATCTAGATACAACAGTATTAAATAAATTAAAATTTTATAAAATTACCTTCTTAATACTAGGTTCACAAACTGTAAACAACCTTTAAAGTCCAGTAACAAAAAGTTTTTAATAAAATACTTTTGACAAATGTTTTTGATTTTGACCAAAGTCTACAAGCTATGCTGGCTAGATTATACAAAAAACTAGTACTAACCCTAATCAGGGCTAGGGCTAAATCTAACTTCCTTTTGGATTGCCAGACAATGTTTTTCCTATGTCAGTTTATCAGATAATTTTAATCAGTAGAAAGGAGATTTATCTTCTTAATACTGGATATTAAGACTGGATTTTAATACTGGAATAATCCAGGTTGTATGGTTGTTGCTTCACCAGAGATACCTAAGTTATTTGTTTTTGCAAAAACATATAAACTGATGCCTTCCCTTAGACATATTATGGATAAAGCAAGATCTCCGACTTGGCTACTAGAAAACATGGTACACATTACATTGGAGCATTTGATGCTCCGATGTATTTGAAAGATTATCAAGAACTCTACCAACCTGATAGATATCTTACGGTGGGTAGAGTTAATGGATAGGGCACATATTACAGTATTTGATTTAGTTTCCTTATACCCCTTGGTAAAACTGCAACCATGCTTCTTTACTCTTGGGGATCATTTACTAAGCAGAATTGATACAACTGCTCACCGAAACAGATCTTAGAACTCATACACCTAATGTGTTATTCCTTGGTATTCCTATTTAATAACCGTACATATTTACAAAAATGAGGAGTACCCATGGGCTGCCTCATTTTGGGTTACCTGTATGAGTTGGTTGTGTGTCAGTTGGAGGAAAAAGTCACACCTGAGTTCATATTGTACATTGTTGTATACAAAAGATACATTGATGATTTGTTTATTCTCTGGAAAACTGAGCAGGATGTAAACAGTTTTTTTATAATGCATGAACAATAACCAATATCGTCTAACCCTTAAATTAGATCAGATAAGTAGTAATAGCACTTATTTCTTAGATATTAACATTCATTTTAAGAAGGGCCACATAGAAACAGACCCTGCTACTTACCATTATTTATTCAGGCAAACTTGGTCGATCCTTTTTTGTATAAAGTGGCAGCCTTCTGTGCACTAACAAAACAGGTCTATATATACCATACCAATTGGAAAGACACTTTAATAGAGCTAAAACATTTTGAGGACATAGCTATAAAATGTAGGTATAAAAGGGACCTAATAAATAATTTATCCCACACCTACTCTAACCAACAAGCCATGTGCAACATCTCCAACACCCAAGGGATTTCCAACAGAAGTCAAGCATGCAACCCCAACTCCAGGTGCACGGATTCCCAGGGATATACAGTATTCCTGTGAGGGACAACATATTCCAAGGGGATTTAGTGTACATTCGGTTCACTAAATGCTCAATACAAAATAGGTGCAAGAACATTGTTATGACATTTTGAACAAAAGGCACACCACCGTCCTGTTCACTTACGCCACTGAGTCTGATGCGAGCCAATTTCCAAAATGCCATGCTAATAAGGTAATTGTTTCAAACAGATCATATTAGGGTCCTAGAAGCCTTGGAAATATACAAGGCTGGCCTGACTGGCAAATGTATTAACTTTAAGGATGGAAAAACAATTTCATATGCATGGCAATTCTTTTACAAGAAACCATGGAGGGTTGACATAAATTAAGTTTTATTAATTTGTATTAAGTTATATCATAAATTTTTATATGTGTGTTAAATTTTATATTTACCACTGTTTAAGTTTTGTTATATAGCATTGTTTTTGTTCCACTTTTTAAAAATAATATTTTGAAAAATTTGTTCTATGCATTCCAATTTGGAATCTTCATTAATTTAAAGACCTGAGGCAGACCTTGGTTGAAAATGTTTGTCAAAAGTTTTTTATTAAAAACTTTTTACTACTAGACTTTAAAGGTTGTTTACAATTTGTTTAAAATTTTATATCATTATAATAAGTAAACTTGATCAATAGAAAATTTACATATTTGCAAGTTAAAATGCTCACAAAGATGTAGCAGAAAATACAGTATATTTCAGTTTTAATACAGTTAAAATTAAAAAGTTTTAAATTTTTGAAAAATTAGAATAGGAAGAAATTTCAGATTAATATTGTGACAACAAATACACTATAAATTCTTATTAGAATAATGATTGAAAGTAATCTACGTATTTATTGATATAAAAATTTTTTTAAATTTTAGTCTAAAGTTAATAAAAATGTTACTTGGGATAGTAGAATTGATAAAATGAAAAGTATTTGGAGTCCAAGCTATCAAATATCTAAAATTAGTAATCAAGAAGGAATAGTATGTTCAGCAGTTTCTACTAAAGGAAAACAAGTTACAATAGATGTAAAAAGAATTTTGAAACCAATAACAGCAAATGTACAGAAGAAAAGATCTCCTTCAGGTATGTAATTTTTTTTTAATGTTGGTGTATCTTAATCTATTGTATTTATTAAATTTCATTTTTTGTATAAATCGTTCTTTTATTTAACTAGTTGTTATATATATATATATATATTTGTATTCATTATACTTAATTTTATTATTGGGCTGCAATTTGAAAAATTGTATACCTATAAATTCCCACTGTCATCTCTGTTTTTTTTTTTAATCTCGAGAACAGAGTTATATAGATGAAAGCTGAGACCAGATATGGAAACCTTAGGGGCATGAGGCCCTGATTAACTATATACAAGCTTTTGATGCGAACCAGAAATTATGTTGTTTCAATTAAAAAATTATTTGTAATCTGTTGTTTTAACAATGGGTTTCAAGGAATTTTTTACTAACAAATTTAAATTCTAACTGAATTTTTTTACTATTTGTTAATTTTGCATATTTTTATCATAACATTGTTTTTTTTAGAATTAAATTAACCGTGAATTTAATATAAAGATTTAACACACAAAATAAATCACATCACAATGCAATTCCACAATGCCATCACAATGCAAACTAAATCTATTACAATGCAAAATAAAAACCATCACAATGCAAAATAAATATTTAAATTTGTGATGGTGATTCCCTTCAGGAATCACCATCACAAATTTAAATATTTATTCCTGAAGGGATCACCATCACAATGTTTACAAAAAATTTACAATATTTACANACTTACCAATAATTGATTAATAAAATTAAGCAGAGTAAGTAAATAAGATTACAGTTAGTGGAAGTTCTGGTTTTGTTGACTTTGTCATTAAAAAGACATATTAAAAATGATTAAAAAATGTATAACTTTGTTATAATTATTATTATTGTTATATACTGGATAAATTACTATTCATTTATAACTGAACTAAGAAATACTAGCAATTTAAACTATTGTACTGAGGTTAAATAACAATTAAAATGATGAATGTTATTGTTGAAGCAATGGTTAAGAGTGATTACAGTAATTCATAATATATAACTGGTAATGCATAATCTTTAAGGCCAATAAAAGGAAAAGATTGCTTAAAAATAGCCATATACCTAAACAAAATGATAACTATGATTAAAATTCTGGTTTTAATAAGTGAAAATATAGTAGAGTTTTGGGACCTGCTAATTTTTATAATATTAAGTGACTGATAACAATATCTGTGATTACAATAAGTGGATTATATTGTATATAAATTATAAAAATACCTTAAAAAGAAATTAAGACTCAGACAAAAATTATGTGAAACCTTTGGACAAAATCCAAATTCCACTTTTTGTTAATTTTGTTAAAGTTAATTTTATTAGAAAGCAGGTAATATAGTAGTTAATTTGATAATATTTGGAATGTTTGAATTTGTTAATAATACAATTCATTTATTGGTAGTTTTCATCCTGTATCAAAATTTATTTTGTCTAGTTGTAACTTCTTTCAATTGGTTATATATTAGTTTGCATATTGAATATATTTTCAAGTATTTAGTGTGTATATATACATATAAAATACACTATACAGTATATATTATTATATATAACATAATTATCAGAATTCTTACAATTTAATATTAATACATGTATGAATGTATTTATGTATATTAAAAATCTTGATTATGGAGATTCTAATTATATAACTTTGTTGTTTTGATAACTTTTTTCTTCTTATCAATGCATACATTGTATTATCAAAGAGAAAAAATTACATTACATTATAATTTATTTATTGAACATAAATACACAAATTGAAATTAAAATGTAGATTTTCAGTGTATATTTGATAATTTAATATTAACTATATTACATAAGTTTATAAAATTTATTTATATTATTATATATTTTTTAAACTTATAGGTTTTTCTTCACCTCAAATCAAAATGATTCACCAAAAAATAAATCTGTTGAGTGGCTGGATGAAATTCAGAAAGAATATAACCAGACAACTTCAACTCCAAAAGCAAAAACAAAAATTGACAAAATAGATTTACATAATGAATCTATTATAGAAAATATTAATTCATTTAAAGATAACATTGATAAAGAGTTAAAAATGAATAATTTTAAATTTAAGTGGAACACATGTAAAAATGTGAATAATGATATCAATGTAAATGAAATTATTCCTTGTAGTTCTTCTTTGCAAGTACCTTTTAAAACAGTTAAAATTCTTAAAGATACTGACATTGCAAGCAAAGAAGATGAAAAAGCAGTCAATTCTTCAAAATCAGATATATCAAGCAGTCCATCTGTTTCTTCACAGACATTTAGCAATTGTAGTATTGACACTTTTTCTTTTACTCAAGATTCTGATATATGTGAATCACCATTATCACAGACAGTTAATAATTCTCAGAATTCACTCCAGTCCAGTCCTGAAAATAGAAACTTTCAAGATGAAATAGTTTCTCCAAAAACTGATACAGTTGAAATTAGGCCTAGTCCGTTGAAATCAATAAACTCAAAAAATGGTATGTATATTATTTCATGAAATTTAATAATTGTTTTAAGATAATTGGATCATTCTGTATTATATTAGATTTTAATTAATAGTTAGGTACACTCATTGCCATAAAAATTAGCACACCAACTAGGAGTTGTTGGAATCAAACAAAATTGTACATGTGTGAGTGTAAGTGATATAAGTAGGTAAGTATCATTTATTGAAAGCTGAAAGCAAAAGTATCATTTATTGCAGGAAAAACTACAAATGAAAGGAAGTTCTACTACCTGTTTGACCACATATACACAATGTGATACAGGTGGGAACAGAGGCATACAGGGTTTTCCAAAAAGTAATGTCAGTGATTTTACTGTGAAGCGAATACATGTCGCAGTGCACTCAGAGCAATAGGTGGAAGGAGGAGTCAGGTTACACATGCACAGTCACTCAGTCACCTCCGACCATCCAGAGAGTAAGAACAGGCATTTTCGTGAACCTTGTTTTTATCTCCCGTTCAAGCTGCAATGCAGCACTCAATTGAGCAGAGGATTGCCATCAAGTTTTGTGTGAAACTCAGTAACAAGTCTGCAGTGGAAACTTTTCCCATGATAAAGATGGTCTTTGGCGATGATTGTTTATCAGAACGGCAAGTCTACTGGTAGCACAAGGCATTTGTTGAAGGCCGTGAAGATGTCAGCGATGAAGCCCGTGCTGGAAGGCCATCAACGACCACTACTGACGAAAATGTGACGTGTGTGACTGAACTCTTGAACTCAGACCATCGTTTGAGTGTTTGTTTAATGACACAGACATTAAACATTCCAAAAAGTACCATTCACGAGATTGTGACAAACAATCTGCAGATGAGAAAAGTGTGCACAAAGCTGGTGCCCAAAGTGTTAACAGGCAACCAAAAATCGCGCCAAGTTGAAATGTGTCAGGAACTTTTGGACTTGTGTGAAAGTGACCCCCCACTTTTTAGACAATGTCATCACAAGTGATGAGTGTTGGGTCTTTGAGCACAACCCTGAAACAAAAAGACAAAGTGCCAAGTGGCACACCTCGGCATCCCCTCACCCAAAGAAGACCAGAATGAGCAAGTCAAAGATTAAGACAATGCTCATTGTGTTTTTCAGCATCAGGGGCTCATCCACCATGAGTTCGTACCACAAGGTGTTACACCTTGTGGTACAAACTCATGGTCAACACCAAATTCTACATGGAAGTGCTCAAGAGACTCAAACAAAAGGTTCATTGCAGACGATTGGAAACTTTATCATGACAACATGCCGGCCCACACTGCCTTCCTTGTGATTCGCTTCCTAGCCGATACAAAGGTGCAAATGGTTCCCCAGCCGCCCTACAGTCCTGATGTGGCTCCCCTCGACTTCTTCTTATGCCCACGCTTGAAAACACCCATGAAAGGACATCATTTCGGGACAGTTGACAAAGTCAAAGAGGCTTGTACCAAGGCTCTAAAATACATTTTGGAAAAGGCCTACCGTGATGCCTTCAATGCCTGGAAATCTTGCTGGAAGTGATGTATCGATGCAGGAGGAGCCTATTTTGAAACCTTTTAATGTATTGTACCAATCAGATCAATAAATGTCTTCTAATCGACTCACTGACATTACTTTTCAGTCAAACACTGTACAGGTGTGCTATGGTGTCCTACAGCATCTAGTTTGGCCAAACTCCTAGGCTGTCCAACTTGGCAGCCCAGGTGATCCCAGACACATTCGATTAGTGACAAATCAGGGGATCAGGCAGGCCAGGAAAGTGTAGAAATGTGGCAGAGGCAGTCCTGTGATACCTTTGTTTGGTTGAGCATTGTCCTGTTGGAAAATGGCTCTTGGGAGCTCTGCCTTGAGAGGTAATATATGTGGCTGCAAAATGTCACTAATATACTGCTGGGCTGTCATGGTCCCTTGGATCACTACTAGAGGTGAGTGGCTCTTATATGTGATGGCATCCCAGACTATCACACCAGCCGTGGAGGTGATATGCTGCTCCAATATGAAGCACTTACTATAGGGCCTCCAGACATGAACATGGTCATTGTCAGTGCCCAAACTGAATCTAGATTTGCCACTGTAGATGACCAGGTTCAATTCCATTTCAGTCTAATCTTGTCAGGAGCGACACTATTCCAAATGGAGGCAATGGTGAATGGTGTCAATAGGGACAGCACATGTAATTAGCCACTGCAATACCAAATGTTCTTCACCCAGGTGCCTCAAACTGGTATTAACAGACATATGTACCTGTAATCAGGAGTGTCGTTTCCACTATGGAAGGTTGGTTGAGTATGAAAGATGCCATACCTCACATTTTTGCAGATATGGAATTCCATACCTCAGAATATTGAAAAAATTATTTGTAATTTAATGCAAGGCAAGCTAAGGCACTTGCTCTCTGTATGAAAACAAATTTTTTCCTTGTATGTTGACCAATTGAACCCTTACATATTCCAAAGTATCAAAATTTTTCTAACTAAACAATGCATCACCATTTTGTGAAAGCAGGGTCTTGCTTTCACAAAATTCCATACTTCAACTTTTAAAGAACCGACACCCATGCCTGTAATTATGACACCACCTGTGTCCAGATGGCAGACACCAATATGGTTGGCTGTGTGCATGCTTTTCGGAGGACCAGGCAGTCCTCTTGGCTAGTGGTCTGCCAAGGGCATCCTGAGCCTGGGCACAGTATCTGCAAACTCTCTCTCATCCCACAGGTCCTGACATCATCTCAGTGTTATCAGAACAGCCTAGGTGGTGGGCTATTCAGTGAGATGACCATCTGGCTTCTCTCAATCTAATGATCCTCTCAAACTCAGTTAGTTGTTCATATGGTCTTTGATTGTGATGTAAAGGTATCTCTAGTGATACAGCATCTCTCTGCAACAGGTAAACTGTAAACAGGATGCCTTTGCATGCTTATTTTTACAGGCCAAGGGGGATGCAATTTAATGCCTGCTGCTGGCATTATGCAATAAGCCATCACACTATAACTGTAATCATTTCCATATCTGCTTGAATAATCCACATACCAAGTTAAACAGTGATACGAGAACTCCTTCTTGGTGTGCTAATTTTTATGGCAATGAATATATTAGTTAAAATTTTTATTTTATTTTTTAAATAATTACATCTTAATTCTGAAGTGAATATGTGCAGAAAGGAAGTTTCAACCAGAAGGCAACATACTTTTTTAATTGAAGAGTTCTCAGTTTGATAGAGGCAACTATTATTTTTTTTTTTTACTTGTTTAAAAAAAAAAGAACAAAGAAAAATTGTTGTTCTGCTATCATACTGTTGTTTTATTAACTCAAGATATATATATAACAAACAAAGGCACAAGACATAAAACTACACAGTTAATCTAGTGTTGTCCTTAGTGTAAATCAAAGGGAAAAAGAGAAAAGGTTAAACAAAGGGGTCTCATAAATATACACATGTAAACAAAGGGCAATGACAAGATTTGAACCTCTAACCCCCCTCTCAAATTGAAGTTATTCTCATCAGGCAAGCCTAATTCCATGACAATAGAAATAGTCCTTTTTCCAATTAAAGCTTTCATAAAGATATCTGCCAACATTTCACTCATTAGTAGGTATTTGATGGTCACTTTTCTTTTGACAAATAAAACAATGCATTGCATCAATGTGTTTTGTCTTATGTGGTATATAAGGTTTTCCACCAGATATTGAGCTTCCTAGTTCTCACAATTTAGGATTATCAAGGTCACTGGCTTCCCTTTCATAAAGGATCCTTCAGAGGTATATAGCTTCCTTTGACCTTTCCATTAAAGTCATATATTTGACTTCTATACTAGAGAGTGCATGGTATGCTGTAATTTTAGTGTAACCCAAAGGGAAAAAGACAGATGGTGTAAACCAGTGTTTCTCAACGGGGGCGATATCACCCCCATGTGGGCGTTTTTCCATGTTGAGGGGGCGATTAGTAACAATTTATATTTTGGGGGGCGAAAAACAATTTTTTGGGCGATACAGTAAAACATTATATTAAGAATAATTAGATAATTTATTCGTTATATCATACAATAATTAAACAAATAACACTATACTAGTCACTAGTCTATTCAATGTAGTACGAATTTGGCGTTAGCCTTGGCTTCTGGCATCAGAATTTTGAAGTTAAGGGGGCGATACTACGTAACGATTTTATTGAAGGGGGCGATACTATGTTGAAGGGGGCGACGGTTCGTTCGAGGTTGAGAAACACTGGTGTAAACAAAGGGGCCTCAACACATACTGTGCTTGATAAATATACAAGTGCTATTTTATATGTATATTTATGTATATGTATACACATATATCTTATTGGCAATTTTGAAATCTTTATTTTTGGAAACAATTAGGACCAAAATATAAGCTAGTCTTATTATTAATGCAATAAAAAAGCATCAACCAAAATAATAATTAGAAAAAAATGTTAAATTCAGGAACCAAAAACAAATTTTATTCAGAAATGTTTTAGTTCTTTTAAAGGAACATCATCAGCCCAGAAAGTTTGAAGCATTTAGAACAAATACATTAAAAAGAAGCAAGCTTTTTTAACCTTACTCATGATTTTTTTTAATGTACAGCGTGAGTCAAAATTATGTGAACAATCTTAATTTTTAATTAAACATTATTAATGAAACATCTTAATTTTGTTTCATTTTCTATTCATGCTTATCTTGATCAAATGTTCCCAAAGCATTGGATTTGTCGTGACAGACTGTTGTTATGGCCTCCCCAATCTCTGGATCTCACACCCTGCAACTTTTGGTTATGGGTATGATAAAGGAGTGCATGTATAGTACAAAAGTGAGAGACCTCAAGGACAGAATAAAAGGTGTGATATCCAACAATTCGCCCAGAAAAGTGTGTTCTGGCATTAAATTGTATTGTTGAATGTTAGTTTGAGTGCATTAATCGTGCTGGTGGTTAGGTTGAGACTCTGTATAAATGCAAACTTTGAGTAAATGCTTTCTCTCAAATAGTGTTCACATAATTTTGAC